GAAATGTACATGAAGAGACAGATGAGAGGGAAGTTGATTGTTTATCTAGGCAAGTGAATGCAAGTGAAAATTACTAAAATGGAGCTTTGGAAACCATCGTCTAGGAAGGGAAAAAAATTCCTGTTAAGGTCAAGGTTCAGAATCGGATATCTTGAAAGATTGATGGGGAAGAGCCGATTTTGGGGGATCTCGATTGCTATATCTGGCACGCGTCGACCCGGGCTGTGAAGCCTGAGCACTTCTGCTCCGAAGAATGCCTGGTGTCTTCGCGGGAGTAACCGGTAATGCCGAAGGAGACGGAGAATATGGGCTAGGCGTAGGTACAGGAGAAAAGGAAGAGACTTGAAGCAGTATAGCGAAGTCTTGAGTCGATTGAGTGAGTTTTGCTATATTGCTCTTGAGCACTGGAGAGAAGGAAGCCGACCACGACTTTATCGTTGTTAGAACGCTCACGATAGCCTACAATAAAAGCGTCAGAAACTGGCTAAAGGCAAAGCAATGTAAGGGACACACTTTAACAAAGAAGTGAGCATCTTCCCAGAATGTCTTCTGATCGCTATCACCAGAACCTTTTCGCATCGCCGAAATTTTACTTTTGAGACGTGTGGTGATTTCTACTGCAATATCCAAAGTTTCTGGCAAATCAATATTCGCCTCTTGCGCATAAGGTATCACTTCATCCATCATCTTCCATACAGATCGTGCTGTCTCCGTTACCGCTTCCATCGTGTTCAGCAAGTCTTCATCGATCATCTTGGAAGAGTCACTTGGAACGTCCAGGGAAGAAATATTTGTCAATCGAGGGGTGGAGTGTACGACATGTTGGCGAGAAGATCCGAAAGAGAAAGGAGACGACCTTCCATCGCCATTTGGAGTGGGAGAATCATATCGAGAAATCACTATGGAGGGAGCGAAGTCAGCAGATGGAGAGTTTCCGCTGAGAATTGGGGTATTCTGAGGAGGTAACTGAGGCTTTCGTAAAGCGGAACGTAGCACTGAACCATTCGGCAGAAGCTCCTGGGATGTGGAGGGCAAAGTTTAGCCTATTTCTAGGTCACTTGTACTGAAAGAGCCTGCGTGTCTTCTTGCCATGCGAGAACGGCCTTCACCAGCATGGATAAGTGATCTGTTAATTGGTGAGGCAACAGCGTGACGACTGTCTCCGGTAGCCAACTTAATTTCTTTACTGTCTCCTGCAGCAGAAACATTAGATGTCTGACTCTTTGGAACTGCAGACCCTTTCGCTTGACGACCCCTTTGCTCAGATAAATACGGCACCTGCCTGCATACACAGATGAGAAACCCGGAATTTGAGATCGGGCAAGCCTTTCGCTTGAGTCACACTCCTTGGACCACTCGGACACGGTGCCGTGGAAGCAGTGCTGTGTATGGAATGTCGAGATATACATAGGTTAGGACTAGAATCGTAAACTACGTGTGTTATAGCTTAGTTATCTTCCGATTCCTGATTGTTTCAATCTCCCAAAATATGTCTCCCCAATCTCGTGAATTAATTCTAGTTCCACTGGGCAATGCATATTCCCCATTCTGTCCTCTGATTGCTTGCATCCTAATCCAACAAAACGGACGTTCCGCTTCCACATATAACAGTCCAGGCAAAATTGTGCTGAGTTGACACATCAAGTCCATGCCCACCGGTTTTTCGAGATCCACGTCGACAAACATATGTGCTATATGAGTGAGGCGTTGGAGTCGACGAAGAGAACCCATCGTATCCAGCCAAGTCTTTAATTGAAAAATATTTAAATTGATGTTTAAAACATGATAATATCAAGTAATCACTTACCTCGGTGATAGCATCTTTCCAAATTTCCGGAGAGTCTATGAATATTCGCTCTACCGATACTGACAATGCGTCCAACAGTGACGTAGGGGAAACAGACAATCCGGGAATTTGAGTGAAAACACAAGTCTGAAGACACGTCATCAGCCTTATTGCGGGGAGAGAACTAGATTTGGCCTTGACCCGCAAATGTCGAATATTTGCTGCTGCTGTCACGGGCAAAATGGCATCGAAGGTTGGTTCACGAGATAATAGGCAGAAAGATTGCATGTTTGGGAGAGAACCTTCCGGAATGGAATCCTCGAAAATCAAGCGCGCTGGGAGGATTGATAGGCATCTGAGAGTGGGATGGCGCGAAAGAAAATTGCGCATAATCAGCGCTTGTTGTGGTTTCGATAGCCCATCCGAATAAAATCCCCACCCTCCCAAGGTCAATCTGGCTAATTTTGGCCAATTTCCTTGCAACAAGAATTGAGGATAGGAATCAACTCTCCCGGCGAATGATAGTCGGAGATCTACAATCGAAGGACATGAGCGGGTGAGGAGATCCACGAATTCAGAGGCATGGACGCCGCTTGGCAGTGTGTCACTTCTGGGGAAGATCGCGAGGCAAATAGCTCGAAGACTGATCATGGTGGGTCTCTAGGGATCTCAGATTAGCATATCTGGGTTACCATTCGAAAAATGAAAATACTTACTTTATGGTTTAATTTCAATTCATGACTGTCTTTTGTATGAGGCGGGAGAGGGTCCACAGACACCGTCGCATTAATGTCAGCCTCTTGAAGCGCCGACGAATGTTCGAAAAGCGTTACGAGAAGATTGAGGTCAGAACAAACATTGAAATCAATATGGCAAATGAAATGAGTCAGGTTGTTAGTGTGCGAGATGAGATTTGTGAGATGCGAGACAAGAATGTCTTTAGTCTCAAGTTGATCCACATCCGGAGCCTTATCGTATTCGGGGAACTTTGAAAGGGATCTTGGGAAAACCCGAATCCGATTTCCGTCGTATATGAGTTCCAAAATTCGAAGTCGCGCTGCCAAGAACGGTTTAGTAGGCAAGATTGACAAGACTTTGCGTATGTCTGTCCGATCCACGATCAGACAGCAAGATATCCATCGATACTCGATATGCCAAGGAATAATCAGAGTACTAAATGCTCTGCAGGTTAATGCGAGGGATAGGAGATCGGCTACATCATCGACGTCTTCGACGATGTGCACGTGGAGCTCGGCTGGAAAGTTGGAAAGGGAAGTCGATGGTGGCATAAGAGAAGACTCGCGCCGTGAGAATTATATACTTAATCGAACACTGTCAGCCTGCAGACTCAAAAAAGTACGATCCTAGGTAGTTTTATTCGAGCTCAAGATTTATTCTGGAATGCGCTTACTATATCGTGAGTCAGACTCCGAGTCCGATGAGCGACGATGTTCAAGTTTTATTAAAGTATACGTACTAAACAACGCTCTGTAATAAAAATAGTACATAGAAATCATACTAGCAGATTAACTGGACTAAGTGCCTATCGATGAGGAGAACTTCGAAAGAAAATCTACCAAACCAATGTGTTCTGGGGGGGCGTTAGCAAGATTCTCAGCACAAAATATATGACACACGTCGGAAAAGATGGTCTACTAGACCCTGCACATCCGCAAAGGCCTGCTTGCATGCATCCCATTCGCACACGATGCCTCCTGTGCTGAGATCCGATCTCCGTCGTTCCTCGGCGACGACGCTTCTTTATTCCGCGCCACAACTGTAGGTGTCGCCGGGACCGTATCTTGCGCGGTGGTTTCGTCGTCGCTCCCCCTGCTGAGCCACCCGCGGACGACATGCCAGCTGAAGATGTTGTACCCGCTCGCGTCGCGTCCATGCGCAACGAGATTTACCTCCCACACTCGGCGCTTCATCTTCCAAACGGGACACCTTCCCGGAACATGGCCCAGCGGGTGGTTTGGGCATCCCTCTCACTTTTCTGTCTTTTACGTGGGGATACGCAAAACAATCGAATTGAGATTCCGAGTCAATCAACTGCTGGCATTTACGACGATCCCTCCTCGTGTTTCCTTTTTAAGTATCAACTCGGATGCAGAGTTGACCACTTTATGATATCAATGAACTTCGAAGGCATCAACAGAACCTAGGATCATAGGGCGCATCATCGACGTATTTATTGCGATCGGCATCCATTTTTACCGTTACGTGATTTACAGAATGGCATGGATTCCTTTTCGGCGGCCGAGGTCAAATTTTCGCCCGGGGATGCCATTGAATTATTTTCAGGCGAACGACGAAAGGTCGCCAGCGAATCCATGTGTTGGATATAAGACTAACTTGGCACGGTCTGTGAAATTGTGATTGGGGTCGTCAGACCTCCAATATTTTCTTAGATCAACGAACGAACTAATTATTCAGATCCATGACCAGAGAACATAATGGAACCTCGAGGCTAACAGTCAAGTTTCAACCAACGTAACCTATCCGCATCCAACGATAACCCACCCACTCATCCCTCCTCCACCACCTTACGTCTGAATATGAATCACTGGCGACACTGCCCCAGACCAGTTAAACCCATCTCACACCGATAATCTTACAAGTTACCAAGCCCTCCATCTATCCGTCATGTAAGTCTTGCTCACTAGCCTCATGATGTGTCTATGCCCCTCAATTAAAGGAATCCCAAATGAATGACTCGGGTCAAGGTCTCATCCCACCATCCGTATCCGACTCTCTCGCTGTTCGAAAGTCAGAATGGCCTACTTGAATAACTGAAGCAGCGTTGTCGGAATCCGTATTAATAATCCTGTTTGGTGGTGGGAAGAAATACGTGCCCTGTCGAGTCATTAGCTCAGCCTCCAAATCAATGACAATGCATCCTCATCCAGCCTGGGCCTGATTAATGGGACTCGGAGCGTTAAACCTTATTGACTTTAAATTAAGTACAGTATGTTTTCCTCTCATTGACAGGCTTACAGATGAAATCAGATTTATTTGTGATTTTATTTTGTATTTTGCGTTCTATTTCAGAGAGGGTGAGTCCGTGCATAATATAAGCTATAAGGGAGGATCAGGGGAGGAGAGATATTAATGCTAAATTCAATTTAAAGGAATCAACGGGAAGAAAAAAGGGATTGAAATCTAATCTGCGTGACCACGAGAGGCGTAATACACCTCCCTGTCCAGACCGCAAGACGCCTTGTCGTAGTGGTTACCGGGTTCGCCTGCTATCATTTGTAGTCCAGCGAATATGCTTTGCATACGTGTGTTCGAATCGCACAGGCGTTGTTTTTGCTTTTGCTATCTTTATTTCGGGCTATGTACTTTTGACTCATAAGCGGAGTCTGCGGGTGTTTGATCAGTTATTTGGCTTAGTCATGCTTTAATTTTGTGCATCAGGAAACTTGTCACAAACCAGCTTTTAGCGCGCGTGCTAGGAAGACTATACGGCGATATACACTGTATGTAGTGCTACCTAGTGCCATATACCCTCACTAGCGAATGGTACATTATATACCGCCGCCTATCTCGGCTATCGCTACTTAGTGCTATGTAGATTTTGCACACTTTACTGATGTGAGTGAGTGTTCAATGCAGCATCGTGATAATGGGGCAGGGGAAGAATGTATCAATAACTATACTATTTTATTTTTCATAGGTTGGGTCCAAAGGGCCGTATTTGATGTCATGATAAATAAAGTTCATGGCATGGGTTCATCAGTAAAGTGTGCAAAATCTACATAGCACTAAGTAGCGATAGCCGAGATAGGCGGCGGTATATAATGTACCATTCGCTAGTGAGGGTATATGGCACTAGGTAGCACTACATACAGTGTATATCGCCGTATAGTCTTCCTAGCACGCGCGCTAAAAGCTGGTTTGTGACAAGTTTCCTGATGTTGGTTTCTGCTGGTTCACAATATTAGTGTACAGTAAGCATCTTCGTCCTGTCAAGACCCTCTCTGCGATGGTTAATTGATCTTAGATACCGAAGGCTACGCCTTCACACCTCGGCCGTTACTATATTGACTTCTCTTCGAGTCCAAGTCGATTTTCTTAAAGGATGACCAAAGGGGTTTGTTCGTGAGATAATGAATAGTTTAGGAGAGGCCATTTTAAATGGACTCCGAGGAGGCAGTACGAGACCTCCAGTCCTGAATCCAAATCAGGTGGTCCAAGACAGAATTCAAACGCGAATTGTATTGGAATCGGAGTAGAGCGTGATATGTAATTAGCATTCAGGCAAATAGCAGTGTAAGTGTGGGTGAGCATCATGGACTCGGAAAAAGGAAATCAATACAAGTCCTGCACTCACCATCTTTAATAAAAGTCAATATCAATACCCACCAGTCCTATTAGAATATTCGCATTCAGACAAATCGCCGTGTAAGTGTGAGTGAGCATTATGGACTCAGGAAAAGGAAATTAATACAAGTCCTGCACTCGCCATCTTTAATAAAAGGAACTATCAATGCCCACCAGTCCTATTACAATAATAGTCTACGACGAAAAACACCAAAATGACACCGAGGGGATTCAAACCCCTGCCTGCATACACAGATGAGAAACCCGGAATTTGAGATCGGGCAAGCCTTTCGCTTGAGTCACACTCCTTGGACCACTCGGACACGGTGCCGCGGAAGCAGTGCTATGTACAGTGAGCTAAGGTGTCGGCGAATAGGAGCCTGCGGAGATAAACCGGCATGCGTCCAGCCGAACAGCCGAGCCAAATCTGCCTCCGTAAAGCTTTCATCTCTTTGACACCTCGTCGCACATAGCACAGCAATCAACTTTCCGATTCCTTCCCAAACTCGATTTATTTTCCCGCCCACCGTCCCGTCTTTGAGCATGTTTTTCTTTGAATGTTATTCCACTTTATTTATTCCGTCTAAAGCCTACCCGTATCATATGTATTTACTGGTTAGAATATAAAACTTACTATTCGTCTATCTAGCGTGATATTTGGTTACTACACAAAACAAATCGTCGAGTTTTCCCTGAGCCTAGGGGAGCGGCTCGGTTCTGACTCCACGTACCACAGAATCTCATTCTGTTCTATCCCAATCTGTGTAGCAGCTTTATATCACGCGAAGCAGGACGGATATACATAGATTAGGACTAGAATTATAAACTACATAGAATATGGCTTAGTTATCTTCCGAACCCTGATTGGTTTAATCTCCCAAAATATGTCTCCCCAATCTCGCAAATCAATTCTAGTTCCACTGGGCAATGCATATTCCCCATCCTGTTCTCTGATTGCTTGCATCCTAATCCAACGAGACGTATATCCCGCTTCCACGTATAATAGTCCAGACAAAACTGTGCCGAGTTGACGCATCAAGTCCATGCCCACCGGCTTTTCGAGATCCACGTCGACAAAAATATGTGCTATATGAGTGAGGCGTTGGAGTCGACGAAGAGAACCCATCATATCTAGCCAAGTCTTTAATTGAAAATTATTTAAATTGATATTTAAAACATGATAATAGCAAATAACCACTTACCTCGGTGATAGCATCATTCCAAATTTCCAGAGAGTCTACGGATATTCGCTCTACCGATACTGATAATGCGTCCAACAGTGTCGTAAGGGAAAGAGCCGATCCGGGAAGTTGAGATAAAATACAAGTTTGAAGACGCGTCATCAGCCTTATTGCGGGGAGAGAACTGGAATTGGCCTCGCCCCGTAAATGTCGAATATTTGCTGCTGCTGTCACGGGCAAAATGGCATCGAAGGTTGTCGCATGAAATTCTAAGCAGAAAGATTGCATGTTCGGGAGAGAACCTTCAGCAATGGAATCCTTGAAAATCAAGTTCATTCGGACGAACGATAGACTTCTGAGAGTGGAATGGCGAGAAAGAAAATTGCGCATGATCAGCGCTTTTTGTGGCTTCGATAGCCCAACCGAATAAAATCCCCCCCCTCCCAAGGTCAATCTGGCTAACTTTGGCCAGTTTCCTTGCAACAAGAATTGAGGGTAGGGATCAGCATTCCCGACGCATGATAGTCGGAGATCTACAATCGAAGGACATGAGCGGATGAGAAGATCCACGAATTCAGAGACATAGACGCCGCTTGGCTGTGTGTCACTTCCGGAGAAGATCACGAGACAAACAGCTCGAAGACTGATCATGGTTGGTCTCTAGGGATCTCAAATTAGCATATCTGGGTTACTGTTCGGAAAAGGATAATACTTGCTTTATAGTTTACTTTCAATTCATGACTGTCTTTTGTATGAGGCGGGAGAGGGTCCGCAAACACCCTCGCATTAATGTCAAGGTCTTGAAGCGCCGGCGAATGTTCGAAAAGCGTTACGAGAAGATTGAAGACAGAACAAAAATCGGCGGTAATATAGCAAATGAAATGAGTCAGGTTGTTAGTATGCGAGATGAGATCTGTTAGATGCGAGACAAGAACGCCTTTAGTCTCAAGTTGATCCACATCCGGAGCCTTATCGTATTCGGGGAACTTTGAAAGAGATCTTGGGAGAACCGGGATCGGATCTTTGTCGTATATAAGTTCCAAAATTCGCAGTCGCGCTGCCAAGAACGGTTTAGTAGGCAAGATTGACAAGACTTTGCGTATGTCGGTCCAATCCACCGACAGACGACAAGATATCCATCGATAATCGATATGCCAAGGAATAATCAGAGTATTAAATGCTCTGCAGGTTAATGCGAGGGATAGGAGATCGGCTACATCATCAACGTCTTCGACGATGTGCACGAGGAGCTCGGCTGGAAAGTTGGAAAGGGAAGTTGGTGATGGCATAAGAGAAGACTCGCACCGTGAGAATTATATACTTAACCGAACACTGTCAGCCTGCAGGATCAAAATAGCAGGTAATAGTACTAATCCTAGATGATTTCGCAACCGGAAAACGTTTTACTTGCGGAAATAGGCCAACACACAGCGCGGCAGGGTCTGATTGCCTGCATAAAAAAGGACCCACTATGGGTTGACTGCGTACTATAAGTACGAGAAGCTATGCACGGTCGCGCGTCACGACCCCCCTTTGAGCTGTGCTTAATGTACTGTTTGTCACGCATCCCCAGACCCATCGTGCTAAGATCTCCTAGAAAGTCACAACCATCATTTGATTAATTCTAAACAAAATTGGTAGTTTCTCCTCGTTTCAATGTCTTTTTAAATGATATAAAGCTCAAATTGTTAAGCTAGTGAAGTCTCAAAATCATTGCTCTCGAATTCTGCACTCCTCCTCCTCATGCTGTTATACGTCCCTCATATGGGTTGTGCCAAGACCCCCCGGGTGTCACACTCCAGAGAGTCGTGCATAGTTTCCCATACTTACAATAGACTGAGAAAGAATGCCAGAAGCTGTCACTTAATTAAGTTTGCCAAATATAATTAGAAGAGCAAAAGCCCACCCTCACCTCCGGCGGAGGTTCCGCTTTTGCAGGGATTAATAGGGAGATGACTTAAGGAGGGAGACCAACAATATTCCCCACGACTTCAAAAGCGGTTGATAGTATACACAGCCTGTAATAATATGATAGAAATCTCCGAAAAAAACCAGGCTTATGAATAGACTTTAAAAACTCTTTAATCTGAAAATACAGGTGGTCTGGAGAACGCTACATCGATTTATAACATTAGTTTATGAGCGCCAACCGGCCGGCAGTTTAGCAAGTAAGGCACACAGCAAAATCATATTAAAAACGGGATGTACGGGACAAGTACTCAAACAAGCTGCGGGAAAAAAACGCAGAATTTCTGAGACAGCGTTAATGTAAGGACTGATACCTTTCCTTCGTACCTCAGCGTAATCAGAATTCGAGCTCAAGGTTTGTTCTGACATGCACTTACCTATCATGAGTCAGACTCCAAGTCCGATGGGCGACGATGTTTTATTAAATTGGATACGTACTAGGCTACGCTCTATAATAAAAATACTACATCAAGATCAAAGAGTGTCTAACGATGGAGAACTTACATAGAAAGAAAATCCACCAAAAATGCCATAAGGGTATTCGAACTCCCGCCTGCATATACAGATGAAAAATCTTGAATTAATACTCGGACAACCCTTTCGCTTGAGTCACACTCCTTGGACCACTCGGACACGCCGGTGCCATGAAGACAAGATAAAACTATCCTTGCCACTAGCACCCTGAGTGGACTGTAAGCTCTTCGGAATTCCCAAGGAAACAGCGCGCAAACTGTCCAAATTTAATGTTGTCAATACCGGATAGACTTGTAATTAGAGAATAGCCAATGAACATCGAGAGGATATTAAGGTAGCTGTCCGTCACAACCAAAAGTTATGATGTGTGGGCCAAGACTCAACGTGTGGAACATCATATTGCTACCGGATTGGAAACAAAACAAAAGAGTAAAATTCAAAAATTGACACCGAGAGAATTCGAACCCCTGCCTGCATACAAAGATGAGAAACCCGTAGTTTAAGATCGGGAAAGTCTTTCGCTTGAGTCACGCTCATTAGACCACTTAGACAGTGCCGTGGGAATTGCAAAGCAGGCGATGGGGTCTATTAAGTATATGGAATGTAGGACCATACATAAGTTAGGACTAGTATCATAAGGTAGGGGACGTGCAAATCCAGCATCCCATTACATAAGCTTGGACTGCCGCTACTTGCATCCCTTTCAGCACTGGTGAAAACACTCTTTATCCTAAATTTTTTAATAGAAGTTCTTTGTAGTTTATCTGGCTACAACTTGTATTTCCGGGATCTGCAACACTTTGGAACCCTACTTTCCTGAGGTTCGCGAAGTTCGCTCCTCTGCAATTGTCACTCGGTCATTAGCAGGCATGAAGAAACTGCGCGGACTTCAAGCCACCACGAGAAAACGCGCATTGTCAACAGATGACCTCCTCTCCATCATCACCCACTTCCCGTCTCCACCACAACACGATGACTTCCTATTCGCCGCCATGCTGCTAACCGGTTTCCACGGTCTACTTCGCCTAGGAGAACTGACCTTCCCCGACAACATTCGCAAACGTTCTGCCAAAAAACTTACCCTGCGTCACACCCTCGCCATCCAAGAAACCCGATTCTCTTTCACATTGCCTTTCCACAAGGCTGATCACTTCTTTGCCGGGAATACTGTAATGATTGAAGCATTACCTATGTCACCCATCGACCCACTTTTCCATCTGCTTCGCTACCTCCATTCTCGCGATCATTTATTCCCGCTGCTCCCCATGCTATGGGTCACTTCCGATGGAACACCCTCCACATACTCGTGGTTCGTCGGCCGCCTCAAACGGCACCTTGGTCAAGATGTTGCAGGCCACTCCTTACGGTCCGGCGGGGCAACCGCGCTTGCCCTGGCTGGGGTACCCGAAAGCGCCATCCAGGCACTAGGTTGATGGAGCTCAGACACTTGGAAAATTTATATTCGTAAACACCCCGTGCTGATTCAAGCTTTAATTTATGGTCACTCAGCTTTTCAAACGGTTCATTCTTCCACCACCCTCTCCTCCCTTCCTTCTTCCTCTAGGATTTAGGATCTACATTTCGAAAAATAATAATCCCGTTTGGATGGCGCCTAGCGCCGAGTACCCCTACCCTCTCATTTGCCTCTTGCCCTCACTTGCACCAT